CTTTAGCATACTTCCAATCAATAATCAAGCAATTTCTGCATTAACTTGTGCTAGAGGACCTGGCAGACCAGTTATGTTATCGGATGTGTATTATGCATATAGAACAAAGCCTATTCCTGATTATGTCTTGAACCTGAATGAATAATGAAGTCAATTCTGTATCATCTGGTAAAAATTCAGCAGTTTGGATAGGCAAAACAACTCTTTCTGCATATTGTGAATGGATAACTGTATTGATAAATTCTTTTAAATCCCTTAGTATCATCATAATAGTATATAACTAACTCTGCCTTTTGGACAGAAATATAAGGACTTTGTTTCACCTTACTTAGTTCTTTTGATTTGTAACCTTCCTTTCCTGATTTATTTGTATCAGCACAAACTGTACCATCTCCATTCATTGATGTGCCACATACAATTCAGGGAAGAATCCAAGTAGTTCTCATTATAAGGTTAATTCTATCACTTTTGGGATAATTGCTATTAATTTCGTCCAAAGATTTAGCATAATTTTTTTGCCATGGTTTATTGTCTTCCCATAATTGTTTAATTTCATCAGTAGTAAAATCAGTAGTATAATCTCTGCTGGGTCTATACCTGCTAGTTAATGAAGTCTCAATTTTCCTTTTATAATTAATTCAGAGACTTTTCCCCATAAATTTTCAACAGTTTATTTGGTTTATATGGTCTATATGGATCTTAGAAGATCCTTTCTAAGCACATATCTTCCCTCTGCATTAAAATTCCTGTAGTGGAAATTTTGGAAGGCAACATGGCTAGAATACAATTAAGATTTGGATTCACCCTCCTGTAATGTCTCTTTAATAATCATCAATCCATTTTTCACTTCAGCTATTAATTCTCTGGGACCAATTAAGTCTTTGTCAACATGTAAGGTTTTGTTTCAATGAATTATTATATCAGGTATTATCCCAACAGTCTGTTGTAGACTGGAAATGTCTCCTAACATTCTTTGAAAGTCATTAAGAGTCTGCAATTATTTCCTAATTTGTACCCTTTGTGTTCTAATTTTCTGTAAACCTATTTTGTAACCTAGGTAATTGACAGAATCTCCTCTTTGTATTATTCAGGAGCAATTTGTAATCTTCATTTAGGTAAAACTGTCTTTACTTCTTCTAAAGTATCTGCATTTGAATGAAATAACAAAATGTCATCCATGTAAATTATAGACTTAGGAAATTGTCTACATATTATTTCCACAGCTGACTTACAAAGTCACAGAGTTGGACAATTAAGCATTCTGTGTGGGAGGACTGTCCATTGATATCTCCTAGTAGGTTGAGAATTATTGTAAGTAGGCACTGTGAAGGCAAATTATTCTCTGTCCTTTTCTTGTAAAGGTATAGTGATGAAACAATCTTTTAAATCAATAAGTATAAGAGGCCATCTGTTTGGTACTAGAGAAGGCGGAGGAATTCCAGAGTGTAGTGGGCTCATAGGTTGAATTATCTTGTTGACAGCTCTTAGATCTATCACTATTATCCATATTCCAGATTTCATTTTAACAAATACAGGAGAATTCCAAGGGTTGATTGATTCTTCAATATGGCAAGCATCTAGTTTCTCCTGTACCAACTGTTGTAGTCTTTAATTTCTCTACTGTTAAAGGGCATTTTTTTTCTCCCATATTAGATTCTTAGGTAATCATTTTACAGCCAGGGCCATTTGTATCTCTGAAGGTTTGCTAATTTCTTTGTGTTCTTAAATATGGTGAATGACTGATGACCTTTGTGTATAATATCTTATAATATCCTTCCCAGAAACATGAATTTTTTTGGAGTGCAAAAATGTTAATCTTGGCAATCCTTTACTGCAACCCCATAAATTCATTTCTATATTAACTACATATGATCTCAACTTTTCTTTCTGTCTTTCTGGCCCTATGCATTCAACCCATCTCATGCTTTGTTTCACATGAGATAGGGTTCCAATTCCTGAGACTTGAATATTTAACTCTTGAAGAGTCCAATTTGTATGCCAAGATTCTTGAGTTAATGATTTTCATGTCCACACCTGTACCTATTAATCCATCAATTACAATGTCATTTATACACACTCTTAGATTTAGTCTTTGATCATTTATAGAAGTCTGCCAAAATATATGCTTCCTACTGGAGTTTTTTTATACATCCTCCATGCCTATACTATCATCCACAACATTATGGTTTTTTACAGTAGGCTCTGGATTTTTAAAATTTTCCTGGTGAGACATGTTCTCCACAGTGACTGGGAATGATTGGACCACGTTTGACATGGGGGACTGCAAGAGACCCCCCCCAAGGAGTTTTCCTTGGTATCAGGTTGCCTTATCTGTCTTTTGTCAATTGACATTCATTGGTACAATCTTGGTCTTTGCCATACCTCCTACATGTACCAGAAGGCTGAGACCTAGAATGCATATTTTTGCCATTCTTAGAGGAAGCATCATCCCTAGGAATTCCTTGTCTACAATCCCTTCTCAGATGTCCTATTCTACCACAATTAAAACATTTGGCATTTTGGTGTCTCCTTATACCATTGGAAGTCTCTTCTCCTACACAAGCCTCAGTACTGTAGTCAAATATCTCAACATTCATTGTATATAAGATCCATTCATCTATTGGTGATAATCTAACCTTTAAAGACCCAAGGATCTTTTCCCATCCTAAATTGGCATTTTCAAAAGCCAAAGATTCAATAAGTACACATCTAGCTTCTGGTCTGATATTCCTATTTGTACAGCCTCAGTTAGTTTTTGTAAAAAGTCACTCAAGGGTTCTCTCTGGACCTATTTAGTCTTAATATATTATTCAATTCTCTTTCCTAGTTCCTGATCCTGCCCCAAGCATTTAAAGCTGCTGTGCTACACAGGGACAAAGTGTGTTTGTTGTAGAGAGCTTGGTCCTGAGGTAATGTCCCTCGCCAAGAATTTGATCTTGGGAAGTCTCAAATCCTTTTGCTTTCCCCTGTTCTTAAATTGCCTCTTTTCTCCAGTAACACTTCCAAAGCAGCTGAGGTTTGTCTTCTAGGAACACTGTAATCAATTGAAACTACTAATGTGGGGTAGCCTTATTACTTGAAACAGATGTTTTCACCATTTCTCAAACAAATGGCGAATGTAGTCCATAAGCTACTATTGCTTGTTTAATATCTTTTAGATCACTCATATGTATTGGTTCACATGTATATTCTTTGACTACCATAGGGTACTTTGTGGTAATTGTTTTTCAGAGCGAATTACTGGATAGGCAGTTTAGACTCTGGGTAAGTCATCCCAGGGTATGGCACCTACTGATGAGGCTAAATTCTGTCCTTGGACCTTCTCTCCATGCTTCAATTTACAAACATTTCTCAATCTTTTCAAATCTTTTTACCACTGCCTTTTGTAAAGTCTGAATCTGCTGTCCAGTGTTCTGTTCTAATATCCTCATTGAGGATTCAAAGGTATGAAATTTCTTCAGTAAAGATAACATCTCATCCTTAAACATAATTTTGATGCTGTGGATATAACCTTCCTGGAGAGATCCCTTATCTGTTAATCTATCATAACTTTTCAACATATTCTGATTATTAAATTCAGCAGCACAAAATCTCTCAAATAATGTCTCAGCATCCTTCAACACTGACTGCATTTTGTCTGTCAAACTGATGATATCCATCTCCAAAATGTTGATTTCCCCAACTAGCTGTTCATTATTAGTCTGTAAAGACTACATAATTTCCAAAAGTGTCTCATTCTTGGCTGTGTTACCAAACCATTTTTAATGTGATAATATGAAAATCAAATCTAATCTTTAGATTCAAATAAAGGGATATATCAAGAAAATCACATAAGCATTGCAGAAGACCATCCATAGCATATGCAAAATAATTACTGAACTCTTGGATAGGTATGTTATTGGTAATTTTTGTAGCTTTTCAGATCTTACCTGTCATGAGACAATTACAGGGGAGTATGTGTAATAATCACTATTGGCCAGCAGGTGTTGCAGTTGCAGTCACATGACCGAGGAATGCAAGCAGCAGTGGACTATCCCGGTTTTTGGTTTTGCGCATGTTAGATACTGTAAAAATGCTTTGTTTAACAAGTTAAGAGGAGTTATTATGGTGATCAAAGTGATTCTGAGAGTTGGTGACCATGATAAAAAGAAAACCTAAAGCTTTCTGTGTGTTTCGTGGACTCCGCGTGCCACGGGGATCATAGGCAGCAGTATGTGGGCCAGTGTGTAATGTACTGAGCAGCAGTGTATGGGTCATGAGCAGAGGAGTGCTGAACAGCAGTGTGCTGTGTCTCTAAGTGCCAGCTGGAGCTGTGGGCGGGGAGAGTCAGTGCCCAATGCACCACGCGGCTAGTACCAAAAAGGATAGACTGGTCCCCATGGTTGGGGGCCAGATGAAGATGGACACTAAAAAGAAATTCCACACTAGCTCAGAATTGAATATAATAAAGGGTTATTTATTTAGAGGTAGACTCATATATCACAGTTCCTCTGGGGAACAGGAACTGAATCCAGCAGCCGGAAGAGAGAAAGTGTGTGCTTTACCTCAGCATTTACAGTATAAGAGAAGGAGTTCCTACAGCACCAATTAGCTCATATAACTTACAGTATTAGATTTCTATTAACCTACATTTTGCCAACTGGCTCTTTACCTCTCCTCCATTCTGTACACCTGACTCTTCCCAAGACTTGTTGTCATCTGCTGCCACACCAGATTCATCCCAAGTTCCTCTCTCTTCTGAGAAGTTCTGCCCATTTTCTCAAGCCTAGTTATCTATCAGCCACTCAGCTCTTTATTCAACCAATCAGAGGAAAATTTGGCAAAGACCCATCATCACAATATACAAAAATTATCCTGTAGCATATTATATATGCTGATGGAATTTATAAGAAGAAAATACCAAAAAATGTACATTATGAGAATGGCATTTTTCTCCCCAGTGTGAACTTTCTGATGTATTCTACGATTTGAAAGATGGATATAGGATATATTAGTCATTGCATTTGTTGTTTCTCTCTAGTATGAATGTTCTGATGGGCTTTGAGGTGGGAGTACCTAATAAAAGACTTGACACATTCCTTACAACTGTAAGGTCTCTCTCCAGTATGATTTCTCTGATGTGTTCTAAGATGTGACATGTCGATAAAAGATTTATCACACTCCAGACATTTGTAAGGTCTCTCTCCAGTGTGAACACTCTGATGTCTTCTAAGAGTTGAAATTCGGAGAAAAGACATGTCACAGTGTTTGCATTTGTGAATTTTCTCTCCAGAATGAATTTTCTGATGTGTTCTGAGGTCCGAGCATGTAGTAAAAGATTTGCCACATTCCTTACAACTGTAAGGTCTCTCTCCTGTATGAATTCTCTGATGCGTTTTAAGAGTTGAATGCCGGATAAAGGATTTGTCACATTCTTCACACTTGTAAGGCCTCTCTCCAGTATGAATTTTCTGATGTGCTCTAAGAGTTGAAAGTCGGGTAAAACATTTGTCACATTCTTCACATCTGTAAGGCCTCTCTTCAGTATGTATTCTCTGATGTACAGTGAGGCTTGAGGCAGCACTGAAGTATTTCCCACATTTCCCACACTGGTGTGGTGTCTCTCCAATGGGGAATTTTTGTTGCAAAAGTCTGTATGTAGAGTCATAGCAGTCATCATATTCTCCTTGCCTGTGTTCTGATCTTGCAGTATAGAGTCTCTGATACTGAGTATTGTTGGGATATAAGTTTAATGATTTCTCACAGACTTTAGAATTGCAAGTTTTTTCTCCAGTTTGCATGCTTTCATGTCTATTTGTGTTTGATGAGTCAACAGAGGCATCCCTGTTATTATTGCATGTGTAGTTATTAAAGTTTTCTGTAGTTTCACTTGTTCTATAAAGTACACATGTGGAGGGGTCTTGAAGCACGTTGTCAAGCTCATTACACAGAGAGGACTCCTTTGCAGTTTTTACATGTTGACAGACAGGATCACATATGCAATAGTTCTCTGAAAATAAGTATAATTCAGATTAATAGGGCTTGATCCAAAACTAAAAATTTAATAAATGACTGTCTCCCTGAGTTCTTTCTAAAGATAATCTAATAAACAACTTCTTAGATATTTTCTTTTCACCGTAATTGAATGTATTCTCACAAAAACAGACAGGTTTAAAGGGTCTGAGATATAGCAGATACATCATCCTTATCAAAAATGTCTAATGGCAGAAGATGGATCAGGAAAGTGAGACATTGGCAATTAGCTGTGGGATGGAGCTCACTGATTGATTATATTAAGAATACATGTCTCTATTTTTAAATATTTCTTCTCAGAGATTGATGAAGTATAGTTTAATACAATACCAGGTTCAGAGAATTTATATTGACTAAGTGATAGGCACTTAGTATTGTTCAGGAGACCCAATACCTTTAAAGATTAAAGTTTTAATTAAAAGCATCAAATGGTTTCTCTCTAGAAAAACATATTAGATTCTTCCAAATTAATGGATGGAAAGCTAGTATTCTGCCAGATACCAAAGGATCAGATCATCTGAAGTAGAGCTGAAATGGGCAACTACTGTTTATTTCTATCCTCCACTATATGAACTCCGCACACTGCTGTATTTCCTAAATTTCTTCATTTGGCTGTTCTCAAGTTGGCACACGACAGACTCCTAAGAATATTTTCCAGAAGCATGTCTGTGTATTTGCCACTGGGACAAAATATGTAATATGAAGACGAAATTGCAAGGAAGGCAATTTCAGAATAGTCCTACTTCATGGATTGACGTTAGACTTAAAGTTTGTAAAATTATTCCAATCTGATATCAGCATAGTTAAATAAAATTGCATTTTATACTATTATTAAGTCACCATAATTCAGGTATAATATGACAATGCCTTCTAACAGTTACAATAGGCAGGTTGCATCCTGGGACCAGAGCCACTCTACTAATAATCAGGCATCCTATCAAGTGAAATCGAATATAACAAAAACATTTCCAGTTCTTGTTTTCTCTTTCACTGGAAGCCATCACTGTTGTCCTGCTCATTCAAGGGCTCACCCTAGTTATAGCTACTCACTCCTCTCCACATTCCAGGGCAATCTCATTTGCTCAGGACAGGTGACCAGGCCTATGTTGCACACAATAATCCACATGTTCTGTAAGGTAGCCCATGATCCATGTTAGAATACAGAAAGAATATAGACACCTAACAAAAAATGTGCTCCATACATGAAGAGAACACAAAGTACAAGAATCTAGGAATTATTTCCAATTGCTATTTCCGTTCAGAGTCTTTTAGCATATTAAAGAAAAATTTTTAGATTACCTATCTTGTGTTTGTTTTCTCACAAAACCATGAAAATTACAATGTGGACATGGTTTTTAAGGTATGTATGGAAATATTATATGCCACTGGGTTTCTGAATTCATTTTGGAGGCAAAGTGAGGGGTGCATGATACATTTAACATGGAAATGAAATGAGAGTCAAATTCCATGAAAAAGTTATTTCTAGTACCAAACTTTCCTGCCTTCCACTGTTTCTAGGACAGCTTAACAGAGTTTACAAGTTAGTATATACAAAGAATGATTTAGGAATTCTACAATAAAAATGCTCTCACCCACAAAGAGCAGGCTACTGTAATTCTCCAACATCACATCAATGTACAAAGCCCTCTGAGCAGAGTCTAGGCATTCCCACTCTTCCTGGGAGAAGTCCACAGTCACATCCCTGAATGTCAATGGACCCTGAAACACAAAGTACAGTTTGACCAAGTCATCCCATTTCTATCATAAACAAACAAACAAACAAATAAATAAAATAAAGTAAAATAAAATAAAATAAAAAGGGACATAACCACTGACCTGGGACAAATCAACTGGAGAATCGGCCATTTCGTTTGTTTCTCTTCTTTGAGTTTCTCTTTCCAGGAACAGTGAATAGATAGATGGCTTGCTGCCCTTTCATATAATGGGCAAAAGAGATAAAGGAAAAATTAATACTGAAAGCAGTTAAAGAAAAATGTCAAAACATCTGAAAAGACCCAAGGAACAGACTACAACCAGCATTCTAGTCAATGATCCCAAATCCAGGATGGCATGGAATGACATTTGAAGCTTGGGGGGAAAATTCACTGTCAATAATACTGTTGCATCCAGAAAATTTCTACCTTAGAATTGATGGAGATAAAAGTACAGTTCAAGACAAAATACAAAGTATAGTACAAAGTAAAGCAATTCATTTCAACAAAGCAAAACCGCAGACAATACACCAGCGGCAAAAATTGTACAGATGAGTCAGAGGACTCATCCATAAGAACATGGGAAAATATAAATTTCATGTGAAGAATAGATAAAAACAGGAGAAACGGGAAGTAATCATCCATGTTTGTTTGAAAAATGGGGAGTTTTCTGATTATACAGACCCTAGAGAAATAAATGTATGGTTTTGAGAGAAAACTTTGAAGAAAAGGAAGGGGTCATGGCATGACAGGTGAGCCCCAGTAAGAAGAGCCTTCCTTGCGCCCCATGGATTGTGCCAATTGGGAAGATTATGAGCAACTTTTTAACTCAGCTTTGAATACAAGAATGTCAAAAGTATATTCATTGCCCTATATACTGGAGTCTATTCAGAGGAAATAGGAATAGTGTAGGTTGATGAAAAAGGAATGAAATGCCAGGGTCTTCCTTTCTGGAAGTGTATGAAAAGTACAGGCCTCTACTATAGAACTTAGGAATAGAAAAATATTATAATCGGCCAGTTAAATGCTTATTATGAAATATTTTGAACATCAAATGATTCTACATGCAACATAGTTAAGGTAAAAATTACTTCAGACTGTTTAACATAACTGTACGAGCAGCTGGCCTACACACAAGCTGCACAAGTAGAGAGAGAACAAGAGAGCTGCTGAACCTTCAGATGTGCATTCATCCCTTTCTTTCCCCCTTGACTCCACACCTCCCTCTTTGGGAACTGAACTCCACTGAAGCTTTTCTTTGGGAATGTTGAGAAGACTTGACATCCTACTTCACAGATCCTTGCTCACCCATGTTCATTGCTGTTCTACTCACAATAGCTATAAAAGGGAAACAACCTAAATGCCCTTCACTTGACAAAGGGATGGTGAAAATGGGGGTACCTATACAATATGCAATTTACCTGTAAAGAAAATTTAAATCACGAGCTTTGCAGGTAAATGGATAGACCTAGAAAAGATCTATTCTTTGAATAGGTATTCAAAATTACCTATTGAATGAGGTAATGCAGACCCAAAGACAGGCATTACATGATCTCTCTCATAGGAAATTCCTAGCTCCAAACCTTCAGATGAGAGTCCACAACCTGGAGTGAATGCAGTAACAAGAAAAGAGAAAAAGAGATTACAGCGAGATGTAGGGGAGCAATAGAGACAGGAATAACAGGGCACCAGTGATCTGAAGGGGGAAGTGGAAAACGGGGGAAGGGATTTAATTATGGAAAAGGAACAGGCATAAAGAAAAGGAGGGCAACATAACAGTAAGGATGTCTAAACAGTCATAAGAAATTTTAGTACCATTGATCTACCCCAAATAGCCCATAATACATATATGTCTGTGTAAACACATACTTTGACATTGTAAATGAAGAGTTTCCATCTGGGCTGATAATGATCCCCACAAGAGCCATAGATTGTCTAACAAAACCACCGAAAGTCACAAGAAGCCTACTTAGAATTTGTTGGTCACAGTTGTCCAAGATACACCAAAAATATTATAGGCTATTGATGTTGTCCATGGTGGACTCCCAGAGGTTGAAGGTGAGATCCTACTGTGATGAATGCATGCACTTCAGACATAAAACCTAGAGAATTACAGATGGATATGACCTGAAAGCTTCCTGTCTGAGGATTGGCTTTCATGGTACCAGAAGGCAACATGCAGCCTTCCAAAGGAGGGAGCCACCGAACAGTCCTACCCAGCTATGACACTTATGAACCACACACTGGTCTACACTGCATGCTAGTGCTAAGGGAGCAAGAGTGGCACACAAATCTTGGTGGTGACCACAGCTTCTAATTGGACTGAAGACCCTCTCGACAGGAGGGAAAATCATGCCTGGTACTGGAAAACTGGCCAGTTTCCTCAGGGCTAGTGAAGTCAGGGTTCGTGGAGGAGACCGACTTCATTAAATTAGCATAATCGCTAACTGAATTCTAAAAATTTTACTTATTCACAGAGGTAAATGTTGTCCTCACCCCAACCGTAGAAAGTTCTTTTTGAACACATGGAGATTATTACAGAAAACCGCAACCAGTCAAAATGCAGACTTGTGATGCTCAGTCCCCACTGAAACATAACCAACACAACTCCTTTACCTCAGGCTCAGGGATCACTGAGAAAGCGGTGGGAACATTGTAAGAGACAGAGAAACAGGACATTTGCCATGAGACTGTGTCTCCTAGAAATGTCAGAGAAGCTACAAGCATCAAATCTTACAAGATGGCTGCTGTAATATGAGCTCAACAAGGACAACACTAAGAGACATGCTAACATGGAAAGGAGAAAGCTCACTAGGCCTCAGCCCTAAGTCAAACATGATGGAATTCTGAGAGCTGGAGAAACAGTCTTCTGCAGAGAAGAGTGCACCATATGGTTATCCAACACCAAATGTTCATCCCTGGAAACATACAGACTGAGTAGGTTGTATGTTTATGTTTAGGAATTCACACAAACATATAACAAAAATGAAAGAGAAATTTACTAAGAAATAATAAAGTCAAAATTTGAGATGTTTTATATAAAAAGATTTATAGTATTTTCTATTACTGTTCTTCACATAATTAAACTTAATAGGGGACTGGTTAAGTTTCTCAATGCTTCTCTAAAAGCTTCTTCTTTCTAAAGCTCTCAATGCTTCAGAGCACCTGTTGTTCTCTTAAAGACCCTTTATCAAAAACCTGAATAGCAAATAAAAAATTAGTAAAGAGGGTGAAAACAAAATTAAAAATCCTTGTACTAACTGGAACATGGAAAGATGTTTCACACAGCTGAAAGTGAACATAATATCGTGAAACATGCAATATTTCTGGAAATGGTTTGTGTGACCAGTTCAAACTCCATGACATTTAACACATTATTTCATATAAAAAGAGAAACCTAGAATTCATATTGACACAAATTCCCTGGGTACAGAGCAACCCTAGGGAAAAGTTGCTATCCTACTGTGATTACAAATGACACTGCAGACTAGGCGGTGGTGGCTCAGGCCTTTAATTCCAGCATTCAGGAGGCAGAGGCAGGCGGATCTCTGTGAGTTCGAGGCCAGCCTTGTCTACAAGGGCTAGTTCCAGGACAGGCTCCAAAGCTACAGAGAAACCCTGTGTCGAAAAACCAACCAACCAACCAACCAACCAACCAACCAACCAAACAAACAAACAAAAACCAAACTAAAACAAATGGCATTGAAAAGCCACATAAACAACAGCATCATGGGAGTAGGAGAAAACTGACAAAACAGCCTAAAGTACAACAGTAGCAGATGCAGAACCTGGCCAATAGCAACGACCACGTGAATGTCATCAAAATACCACAAACAGGTGTTTCAGACAAGGGTAAGACATTCACACCAGAACTTCATAGCCTACTTCCTTCTGAACAGCAGAGAAACTGCTTGCACCCCTTTGTGCCTTCCCTCCTGGGTCGCAGCCCCGCAGCGCTTCTGACCTGGGAGGTTCCAGGGCCACCCGGCTGCGGTTCCCGCCGCTGCGCTGCTGACTTTCCCAGGCCGCCCAGCGCCGCCACTGCGGCTCCGGGGAGTATTCGCGTCCCCGCGACACTCGCCGACTCCTCCGCACCCAGGTCTGCACCACAGGATTCCCCTAGAGAAACAGGGAATGCTGGAATTTCTGTCACTTCAGCTTGATTCCTCCCAGCTACTCCTCCCGTCCCCGCCCAAAATACCTCCGCTTCCGGTTACCTGTTTCCCCCCTCCGCCCCCCAAACCCGCCTACCACGGGGCTCACTTTTAATTTTCCAGTTGCACCACATTCTTTTCAACTAATCTTCTCTGATTGACGGGTGTTCCGTCCCATTAGAGACCTGTAAAACCCAAGCCTTCTCAGGCTGCCTTCCACACAGCTTCAGCTGTCAGGCTGCCCTGGACCCGCTCTGCACAGCCTCCTCACATGCTTGCTGTCTGCCTAGATCAGAAGTGACCTAGGAGGACGCTGCATCCAGGTGTCTGACCCCACAGTGAGTTCTGAACCCTCCAGATAAAAGACAGACAGCCTAACCTCGACTTTAGTAGTAGGCTCTTGGTCAACAACATGCTTACACCTGAAGCGCGACCCAAATTACTAACGCCAGATATCTGGAGTGAACGTTGAAGGACCAGAGAAGCTGAGCAGCCAACCACCAGAAAGTTCTTACCTCTAGGAATCCTCAGACCGAATGGCACCGAGATCTTGTGTCCTCCTGCCTTATATTCCCGTCATCACCTCCCTCGTGCTGGGATTAAAGGCGTGCACCACCATTGCCCAGCTGTTTTCGTGTGGCCCAGGGTGTCGATGAACTACTGATCTCCCTGCTTTCTTCTTCCAAGAGTTGGTATTAATGGTGGGTACCACCTCTGTTTGTCCTCTATACCTAGGTTGGCCCTCAGATCTCCACACAAACCTTATTTATCAGAACACAAACAAAATATCACTCAGCATAACACCAAACCTTAACAGGCTAAATTCAGATTCTAGCGTTCCATCGCGAATATACAAACACGAGAAGCCGAAACCAAATACTTCAATTGTGCCTTGGAGAGAGACATTACATGAACTTGAATTTTGAAAAGAATTTGGTGTCTCAAGAAGTCTAGAAGTCAGTTCATTGCTAACATCCCTGGGTTGAGTTTATCCTGAGCTGTATTGATCTCACCCCTAGATAGTGGCTTTGTCATTTTACTAACTCAGAAACAAGTTAGGGTGATTCATGCTAAAGGTGATTTATGATAAAATATAGAAAGATTCTTTGGAGAAAAAAAATGCAATGGCGAATGCAGAGATTCTTGCTTGTC